CATACTCTCAAATGAAATGCCATCTTTTTTGCAAAACCGTAATGAAGTCAAAACATCTTGGAGTAATTTGTTGTTTGTTTTTTCTATTCAATCATGGACAAATAAAAAAATAACATCCAAGACGAGAAAATGGTTTGGTCCGAATGTAAACACATGTATGTGCGTCAAATGAACTGCTATGCCATACTACTGTCCAATTATCAATTTGTATTTAATGGTGAATGTACTCTGACGCCATGATCAATATTTATCAATTAAGTTTCAGTGGGGGTAGGGGGGTATGAAAAAAACTAAAGAGATTAAGTTTTTTATCCTACATTGAACTTTTGATGTTGTCCCTAATACAACTCAATTTTATTTAAATCTGTCAATCATGCATAATCCCTGAACTAAATTGAGGCAAACTTCAGAGTCATCTTAGGGAATAAATTTATTAAGAAACAATTTCACTTTTAAAGTTGAGTCAAGTTACACCCGAAGCTTACCTGTCCCCATTATGCTACTTCTAATCATAGCGGCTATTGGCACATACTCTTCCTTCACTTTCTCAAAACGTGAAACAGTTTCTTCCAGATCAGCGAAGTTCAGTTTCAGTCCCATTTGTTTTATTGTCTCAGTGAATGTGTGAACGTGCACGCCATCTATTTCGCATCCCTTAGTGAGAAACAAAGCAACTATATCTTCTGTTGCATTCTGTCGCAGTTTGTATGATGGGTACCCGATCATGAATCGTACATTTCGGCCTTTCTTGCCAACTTTTATTTGAGTTTCCCACCATGGTCCTGTGGATATAAATCCACCATGCACTGTTATCGTTTTCTTCGTGCGGATGTTATATATTCTTACTGAAATAAACAACATAAAATTTATGATTACAAAGACAGATAAGACAAAAAAACTTTATTCCAATCTTGTAGGAAATTTGGCATTTAAAATTAAATACATGTGTATTTAGTAAACACAAAAATGGCGGTGTCTGCTGTAAGCCTCGCTTTCAAATTCGCTTGAGACTTCCCTTGGTCAACTGATTTCAACAACAAATCCGAGTACCTGACGTCTTTGTTTACGGGTGACCCACCAAAAAATAAAATTCTCTCCAGTCACTGTCAGTTTCAGGCCGATTTCTCGCTATCCACGCAATTTGACAAATACCTCTCAATAGACTCTATATAGTGTCAAGTGAGTTTTAACAGCATTACGAAGGCTGAATGCCACTTAATTCAGTAAATGAATTCAATTTATAGGATTGGGATAACAAATTGTGGGAATATTTAATGTTGCCAGCAACTCAATTTTCAATGCCATTAGTTTTCACATTATGATAATTTGACAGCCTTTATTCGGTTTCGAGTGTATAAACGAAAAGATGGCGACAAGACTTCAGAATGTTATGCGCTAGTATTGTGACTGACATCTGTTACTAACAAAATAACACAATACTGTAAAATAGTTTATTTTAGCTGGAATTAATTTTCGCTGAAAAGAATTTTTGAATGTTTTGTATGGAATTTATTTTCACTGATTTTTGACAAAGTGAATGTGAAATATTAGAAAAAAGGTATATTCGCTGGATTTTATTTTCACTGAATCATTCCTTCAGTGAAAATAGCAAAAATTAATTCCAAGCGTAATTCACACTGTATAATCAATAATAAAAATTTGCATAAAGTCGTAACTCGAAAAAACAAAACAAAAACCCCCTAGTAAAGTTGCGACTTTGGCACAAGGGTTGGTGAGCAGACACCCCCCCCCCCCAGGACAAATTTTGTGTCGTCGCCTCTGCAGAACTACAGGGAAGTTTATATAGCAGGTTTTTTATTATTTGCAAGTATTTCACCAGCGAAAAAAATGTATAGGCATAACTAATTTGTGCTTTTTCAAACCATGTATTACACTTCATTCTTTAAAGTATTTTCTGGCATATCCCTTATCCTCATCCAATATTTTATCATTTTGCCCAGTGCTTGAAATATACTCTCAGCGTTACAAAAGCATTCACTTCATTTTCATAAAAATTTACAAAATTCACAATTCGAACTGCAACGAATGTTTTAATTGGCCGATTGGATATCCCTGGAACGTTTTCAAATAACATCGTTGAGAACTGTGCTCGTTGATTGGCTAATTAAATTCAGTTGTATTAGTTTTAAGTTATTCTTACTTCCCGTGGCTTAACAAAGACATGACAACGTTTTCTGTAAAGACGAGTACTATCACAGGGAGCCCAGGAACTATAATCAACTGTAATACGCAGTCTCTATGAGTGGGGGGTGGGGGGGGGGGTATCGGCTGGTATCTAGTGTAAGAAATAGACAAGGGATGAAGGCTCCAGCCAGCTCACATTTTTTAAACTCGAAAAAACAGACGAAAAGAATGAAAAATTAAATATAAAAAAAATACCAGGTTGAAGAATATTAGTTGCTTCTTCAAATTTCGCCAAAGCCCTACCTATGTTTTACCGATATCTGCAGAATAAATCAAGAAAACTACACAAATT